CAGGAGAAAAACTTCAAGGCCAGTAGAGGGGAAAGTACACTGTAGCTCCATAGGCACCAACTTTACCACTTAAAGATTGTTTCACATGAGCAATAAAAGTTCTCACAATGAATGGGACTCAAAAAGTTGACTTCTCCTCAGATTTCTTTGACTTTAGTACTGAGTCAAAGCGGGGGGGGCTTGCTTGCTAACTTCATTTTCCAGGCCGGTTCGCTCAGATAAGTTCTGAGAGGCATGTTAGACTAAATATGAACACAAGTGGTTCGGGAGTTGTCAAGGTAACACACATACACACACACACACACACACACACACACACACACACACAGCGGGAATATTGACATGCACACACACACACACACACACAGAATGAGATTAGACCTTGGAGCATCTTGCATCGACTACATACTGAGCTGTCTCTGTTTTATGAATTACAACAAAGGGGGGAGAAAATTATATTTGAAAGCCAGAACCCATCAGAATTATTTTTGAATTATTGGTATTGATCAGCAGCCCTGTCCTCTGTCTCCAGGTACTCAAAACCATCGCTCTAAAGCTAAAGCTAAATCACTCATGAACCTCACACACACACACACACACACACACACACATATAGACGTACAAACACACAACTGATAACATGTTTGTGTGTTTCTCTGTGCAGGAGTTTGGAGTTCCCTTCATGGAGACGAGCGCTAAATCTGGACTGAACGTGGAGCTGGCCTTCACCGCTGTGGCCAAGTGAGTCACACACGACAGCGCAGTATGAAGAGCGCAGCGCGGATCCCTGTGTCCTCTGACTGAAATATAACTTTTTACTTTGAAGGAACACGGCCGTGTGAAGTCGAGAGCTCGTGCGCTCTGCCTGTTAAGCTATTAGAACTGGGACGTTGAAATCGGCCGTTCGTCCCCTGGTAGATCTGGTGATCCATGAAAGTAGCTTTATATCTTAAAGGGAGAGAATACAAAACACAAAACACAAAACACAAATACAAAGTTGAATTCATAAGCAATAAAACGCACCCATGCTCAGTAGCTTATGGAGGCTAACGTCGGCTAATGTTAGAGATAAGAAATTGCTGCTGGACATCAAAAACTGACATTACTGAGTCAGTCTGTTATTTTGTTATTTAATTGTTTGTTTGTTGCGCTCTCACATAGGTATATAAAAAGTAAATAAACCATATAACCAAGAAGTTTCGATGGCAAAATGTAACCAAGCAGCCACTGAAAACTGAAAACAACAAGATAACAAAGTCAAAAAGTTTAGCGGGACATGAAGCTCAGTCTCCTGGGTGATCATGCTAATTAAAGCAAGCCTCAACAGAATCTGGGACGTTAACCTGTAATAACTTCACAACGTTACACTCCTCCTCGTCGCTCCTCACAGATGTTTTCGTCTGCCGCCAAGTCACGTGTTTCATGTCTGTCAGTTTCCTTCACGTCCTTTTACCCTTAATCATTAATGTTTTACTCTCTTTTTAACCGCTGGGTGTGACGCCGTGTGATTCCTTTTCATGTTCACTTTCAAGAAATCTGCATTGTTAATGAAGGACGCGTGAAGGAGGGCTGCTGCAACACAACACAGGAACAAATTTAAAAGCGGAGAGCGAGATAGCCAAACTCCAGCAGGTGTGGTACTGACAGGGGAGAGCAGGGTGCACTTCCATTGGTTCCCCCGAGGCCACACATTCAGATACAGTGGTGACTCTCACGCTCACAAATTACAGGTTTGTTCTCTCGACGACAAAAAAACGAAACCAAAAACCAAACAGTCTTATTTGTCTCAAAATAAAAGTGATGATAATGAGAGTGCTATTTAAAGTGTGTGTCTCACTCGGTGTGTGTAGTGTCGGGCAGTTTGTGTGGGAGCTGCCTTGTTATGGTAACAGGCTGGCATGGCTGGGCGTTGCCAAGAATAGCATGACAGTCTGGCACATAACAACCTGCAGATACAGAATCTAAAACCAAATCTTTTCTTCTTCTTGTCCTCTAGCTCATGTTTTCACCCTCTTCCGTTTTCTCTCTCTCTCTCTCTCTGTCTCACTTATCATCCGTCTCTCTCTTCCATTTTCTCTTCCACCTCATCTCACCACACGTTTTGGTTCGTTTCACTGCAATGATGCACAAACGCTGAAATTAAAAGCAACATAAGATCTGATTAACCACCGACAAACCTGGATCACTATGCGTCTCTTTTATGTTTTAATGTTCTACGTGAATGTTGTTTCTCTTCTACACTTGGAGTCGTTTCTGTAGATAGTCTTACACGGTCGTTAAGTCGCCATGTTGTCAGCTCAGATGAGCTAATTAAGATCTTAACTCACAGGAATCGTTACTCGTTTTGGGTTGAGACCAGGTTTTATATCTGTCAGGTAAATTTGAATGTTGCCACCTCTCATTGTTGGCCGAGCTAGCATAGCTTCATGTCACCGTCTCTGTGTCCCTGTGTGTGTCTCAGAGAACTGAAGCACAGGACCATGAAGGAGCCTGACGAACCAAAGTTTCAGCTGCAGGAATACGTCGACCAAGAAATGAGGACGGCTGGCTGCTGCCGCTCGTAGACCGTATCCCTATTTGTGTGTGTATATGCGCATGTGTGTGTGTGAGAGAGAGAGAGAGAGAGAGAGAGAGAGAGAGAGAGAGAACAGGTACATTCTGTTAGAGTATGTTGTAAAATCTGAGATGGTGTGTCTGGGAATAATCATGAAATTCTCAGTGTTTGTAATATTTCTATTAGTGGTGGATATGGCCAATATGCTCTCTCTCCCAGCCCACCTTTCCTCTGCAACTGTGAATGTAAAATAAATAATTCCTACTACCTACATGCTGACACACACACACACACACACACGCACACACACACACACACACACACACACACACACACACACACACACACACACACACACACACACACACACACGCACACACAGTTTGTCCATCCACTTCATAGCCTGTTTAATGCATTCTGTGCAGTTTTTCCATGAGTGTGATGTACATATTTTAAATGTAAGTTTAATTTTGTGCTCTGAAAATCTTTGTAGTTTGTAAATGCCCGTCTTGTTGAAACTAAAGTATATGGACAAAAAAATATGTTGAATATTAAATCAATATCATAGATCTTATTGACACATTTGTATGGATACACTAATGCACCTAATGTAAGCTGTCAAACGGCACTGTGTGCTGTTTGTATGTACAGGATAAAATATGATTACCGTTTTTAATACTGGCACTTGTGATCATGACTGTCATCGTACTGATGTGTCTGTGACTTATGATTTGAGGTCTTGACATTTTATACACAGATTGTTCAGTTCAAGAGTTCAAAGCTGCTGTGTGAAGCGTTTAATCTCTCTCTGTAATTATCACATTCAATGTAATAAACGGCATCGTCAGTAAAAGCCCGTAGGTGTCCACCGACCACGACTGTGCTCGAGGACGATGCAGTTGTGTTGCGTTATGGCAAATAACAGGAAGAGGGCGCTGCTGTGTCGACAAAAAGCAACAGGATTCTTGTGAAATCTGCTCTAAACCTGCACAAAACTGCACAAAAAAAGCTACAGAATCATTCGTTTGACAAGAAATGAATCAATTAATTAACCAATTAATAAAAAAAAAAAAAAAAAACCTTCACTCATGGGCTTCTTACCAGCCTTTTCTGGATCTTGCTATCACATCTCATGGTCTTCATCAGTGGATGATCTGCTGATCAGGGCCGAATCAACTCCATCAGCTTTAAGATTTAACAAGATTAATTATTTTAGTATTCAGTGGGTCAACTCCATGCACTAAGCAAATTCTATCTGCAGATGAAGACCATGAGAAGTGGTGGAAAGCTCAAGGTAAAGCCAGTAAGTGGACATTGAGTTTAGATTTTTTTTTTTTTCCAAATTGAATATTGCTGTTGTTTAGTGAGAGGTTTTAGATTATTTCCCACATTTTGTATCACAGTGAATTTTAAAGGATACGATATATTGTGTAAATATTTCGAACCGCTGCACCGGACATCTTGTTTTGCCATGTTTTACTTCAGTGCATAAAATTGTTCAAAACAACACAAAATGAACCGTAGTGTGAAAGTCAACGTGAGGACAGCAGATATTCAAAGTACAATTCTTTTAGTTTCCACCGGAGACACACAAAATATTTGAAAACACAACCAGGAAGTGAAGAGTTGAGGATGCTTTGGCTGCACCCATTGGTTGGTTTTGTACTTCCTGTCATTCCATAGCGATGCAGCCATTGTCACTGGATCTTTTGCTGGACTAATGCTGCACTGTGGCTCCGGCCGCCGAGGGGAGGGTAGAGGGAAAGGTAATTGGAAAGTCGGTAGCAGGTGGAGTGGTGCTGCTATTGTGTGCTGGTTTCAAAGAGGAGTCGTCCAACAGTGTAACAATGCAGGAAAGATGGAGGATTCATGAGTAAAAGCTTTTCAGCAGCTGCTTTGAATCAATAACTTGTCACAGGCTTTTTCTTTTTTTTCCCACAGATTCTACCCAGTGGTAGGAACACCGCTACGTCAGTTGTTTTTATTGAAAATTGTTCCTGCTATAATGTTAAAAACACACAACATTTTATTTGGAAATACTGTAAATAAAGATTCAGAAAGCTTACATTCATTCAAAAATAAATCAGATGTCGTTAATTTATTGTTAACTTGTAATCTGTTCTGTATCTTAACTGAGATGATTTGTATTGTATCAATCTGACGTATTTGCATTAAAGAATCCCTCAATAATCAATGGCTTGTTCTTACCGGTGGATGAGCAGTGACGAAGCTCAGACATGGATCTGCAGCACCACCGTGTGGCCGTCACTTGTTATTACAATATGAACTTGTTGAATTATCTGCTACAGCATCAACTCTTTATGGTTCCTGTGGAAAATGGAAACAAGTCAAATCTGTTTTACTTTCCTTAACTTTCATTTTTTGTACAAGCTCTCAGAGTCTTTATAAGGTCAAAAGTTAATTTTTTAGCCTTTCTTTTTTATTGCCTTTTCTATGACAGGTGCAGTGGACTCGGCCCTAATGGTACACGCTCACCTGGTAGAGTTAATGTTGTGAATATGTAGTTGTCTTGAGGTTACTGACTTCCAGAGGTGGAGCAGAAAAATCGGAGCCCTGTAGTTATGCGGCTTTATCCGCTCTCCTTTTATCCACCGTCAACAAGTTATAATGAGTATTTTTATTGCATTGTAAAGACAAAGGTGGAAAACCATTCAATTCTGGCCTCTACACTGAGAGTGGATCACTGTATTTCTGTATTTCATAATAAAAGTAATCAAATAAAAAGCAGTGAGGCAACAAGAACGCAGGAATTCTTTCATTTACCCAAATATTACAAAACAAGAGTGTTATAATTCGGCCTTTAAAAGAGGTCAACAAAACAACTATCCTGAAGATAATACTGAACAAACATGGAGGACAGAACATGTAACCAAATAACACACAGAGGGATAAACAAAATGGACGCCCAACTATAACTTAACACCAAGCAAAGCTAACTGAACCCAAAATCTCCCCCATGATGCATCAGCAGTTGGTTTGGCCCAATCAGCTGGCTCCCAGATTTAACAGTCCTCAGCCTTCAGTCTCACCTTTTGCTCCACCAGGAAGTGACCTCCCACCAACCACGGTAACTCAACACAAAGACACACAAACGGTTAATGTAACAGGAAGTTTCCCCCCGCAGCGTTAAAACATGTGCACGCCGTGTAAAGCGATGCAAGGTTAAACAACCGGTGTGATATTAAGTGTTTAAGTGTAATTACCTGCAAATGAAAAGAACCTGTGTTGGTAACTAATGAGGTGATTTCACCCTGTGCGGTTGTTCTCCCGTGTGGCTGCGGCCTCCTGCTGCTGAAGGTTTATATGCATCAAGTGATATTCGTGATCACAATAGTTAAAACTGATCAAAAGAATTTGTTTTTCTTATTGTTGCTTCTCTTGGATGTTTGACCTTCACTTTGCAGACAGATGCATGTGCAGTTTTTACTTTGGTAAATAGAAACTGTTTATGACATTTGAAACTTCTCTCTGCGAGCAGGTGGGAGGGAGAGCTGAGACTGTGAGGAGTGATTACCAGGCCGGATTAACCTGGAAGAATGATGTGTAACAGTGTGGGCGAGGAACATTGGGGGGGGGGGTTTCCAACAGCAGAACACCATGCAAGTGCAGGGACATTTTAACCTGAGTGCCTCTCTAAATCGGTCAGTACTGAGCTTCCCTTTGATTGGTCTGACGATGTCTGATGCCATGACATTCTGTAACAGGGCGGAACAAAGTGAGAGGGAATGGAAGAATCAGTAGGAGGAAGAGAGGAGACAGAGTGACCAGCACATGGGAACAGATCACCGTCACCCGACACAGAGCCAACACATGTCATACAGGTAACACATCGTGTGTGTGTGTGTGTGTGTGTGTGTGTGTGTGTGTGTGTGTGTGTGTGTGTGTGTGTGTGTGTGTGTGTGTGTGTGTGTGCGTGCGTGCGTGCGTGCGTGCGTGCGTGCGTGCGTGTGTGTGTACATATATAAAACCACTTTGTCATTTCAAGTTTCTTTCACTGCACAAGCTGCTGAAAATAAGAATGTTGAAACTTTCTTCAGCGGGAAGTTTTGGGCCTTGAAGGTTTGAAACGCCCAAAACTCTCAGGATGTCGGCCTGTAAAAAAAACAACAAAAAAAACACAAGCACACTGCAGCTTATTTTGACCTTATTTAAACCTGTTCCATACCATAACCACACCTTCATTATGGTTACCATGACATCAAAGGTCCAGTACACCTGCTGCTGGTACGCTCCTATTGTATTGTGTATGGACAAGAGTTTGACACCACCAGCAGCAGCAGCAGCAGCAGCAATAGTTGTTGTTTTTAGATTCACCTACATTCATCTTTGTACGTGTGTTGAGCAACATTTAAAGGGATTCACGTCAGAAACATCCGCTGCCATATGATCAAGCTAGAGTTCTCTTGGGTCCTTATGACTTCTGCCTCACGTCCTTCCTTGAACTCTGCTAAAGGACTTTTTACTTTCCACCGCAGCTCCTGTTTTTCCACCTGAATCTCATTGGACAAACAATCCAGTAACAGGAGCTTTTGTTATTTTCCCTTCAATGTTTTTTCCAACCCCTGCCTCTGACTGGCTAACGCTCGTTTAGGTTTAGGCATGACGAGTGATGATTGGTTAAGGTTAGGGTAAGAATATCAGGGTAAGCCAGTCAGAGGCAACCTGGAAAGTTGTGTTAGATTTTCAAGATGGAGCCATCGTCCATCTTGAAAATTTGAGTATGCATTTGTGATTGGCCCGTTATTGTCCAATCAGATTCAGGTGTAAAAACAGGCTCAGGTTTTCTGCTTCGTATCTGTTCACAAAAACACTTATTCTTTCACTTCTGAGGTCTTTTTTTTCTGTTTTCCCAAATACAAATCTTTCTCATGCAGATTTATTTTACAGGTTTTCAAAGGTTGAAGGAGAATCACAGAGCAGAGTCCAATCAGAGGGTGGTGGTTCTGTTACCATCATCTTCATCAACATCTGTTACCTTTTTAAAAGTTGCCTCTGACTGGCTTACCCTGATATTCTTACCCTAACCTTAACCAATCATCACCTGTCATGCCTGAACCT